GGATGATGACATGGTCGTGACGTCATCTGGCGATTTGCTCGTTGATTGGTTGTCAGATGTCGTCGGACTGTTGTATTTGTTATCCGTTGCAGTTGTTCCTGCTGCTGCTGCTGTGGATGAGTTGTTTCTAATCACGTGATCGTTTTCATTGTTGTTGTTGCTGTTGATGATGACGTCATTGTTGTTGTTGTTGTGGTGATGGTGGTGGTGGTGTAACAGGAAGTTTTTACGCTCTAAAGTCTTTAAACCGACGCTCTCCACACCGATGCAATCGTCATCATTATCGGCCTCATCTTCCGGCAATATATCCACGTGCGATTTAGTGTCGTTGTGTGACGTCATCACGTCGTCGTCGTCGTCGTCGTCTTTTGTCTTTTCAAAATCATTTGTGTTAATAATGTTGTTGCTGCTGTTGCTGTACTTTTTAGTGCCGTAATGGGCAAGTGACGGATGGATCAGTGGGTGCTGGTAGAATTTTCTATGTTCGTGTTGTGGCTGGTGCTGCTGCTGTTGCTGTTGTTGTTGCTGCAACACACTTTCCAGCAAATATTTCGACCCTAAATTATGCTGATGTTGGTATTGTTGTTGTTGTTGTTGCTGCTGCTGCGATCGCAGGTACGCCTGCTGCAAGTGATAAAAAAACGGCGAAATGTAATTTCTGAAGTCCATCGGCGGCGTTGAAGTTGTGGTCGTTGTGGCGGCGGCTACTGCGTTGTTGATGTTATGCTGCTGTTGCAGTTTATACTGTTGAAGATGTTGTAGTGAGATGTTGTTGTTGTTGATGTTGTTGTTGTTGATGTTGATGTTGTTGTTGAATTTGCTTAAATGTTCCTTCAACAAAAACTGTTTGATCTTATCGTTGGCTATGAAATCAGGCGACGCCTGTGACGTCATTGTTACGCTTTTGGTGACGTAATTTTCAATTTTTGAAGGAAAAAAAACACACGCGCGCGTACTAATACAAATACAAAAAGTTACATCAATTTTTACAGATCAGAATTACTGACACGAGATCTACAACATCTCACACCACCAAAAATCACCACCAATAACTAAAAACCAATCAGGAGACGAACTATTCCAACTCTAGCTAACATCAACTGTCATTAATTTGATCCTATAAATTAAAATAATTAAAAAAAATCTTCTTTCTAAAATAATCCAGCCAACATTAAACTAAAGATCAACGAACTTATATACTGTCAATGGTACATACATACATGCATACATTATATATATATATATATATAGTATATACATACATACATAAGGGGTCCAGCTATATATATATATATATATATATATATATATATATATATATATATGTGTGTGTGTGTGTGTGTGTGTGTGTGTGTATGTGTACATATGTATGGGTATGCAAATGTGTATATGTTTTGTTGATAGCTTGTCGCCCTATGTTAAATGTTCTCTCTTTTATATCATCTTCCTTTACTCTGAGCTAGGTGGCCGGTACTCGCAACATCACAACGAGGTAGAAACAGCAAGGCAAGGTGAAATTATACAAATGTTTGTTTGTTTGTGTTGCTTCTTTGTTTGTTTGTGTTTATTTGGTTAGTTGTGGTTTAAAATACATATTAAGTGTTTCGTATTGAATGTGCGTTCTNGCACACACACACACACACACACACACACACACACACACATAAATACATACACACATTCACACACACACGCACTCATATACACGTGCTTAATTTTATGTTAGTATTTTACTGAGACAAGATTTAATAAAAATTAAAAATCTTTCTGAATAAAGCACTGCAACAAATCATACACCATCGTCATTATCTTCATCCAAATCATTATAATCACCATTATCATCATCATCATCAACTTCATCATCATCATCATCTTCTTCATTATCATCATCGTCAGCATCATCGTCAGCATCATCTTACAATAAACATGAGTTGTACATTTGTATGAATTATAAATAACGAATGCACGGGTATTATTTAGTACATATGTAAACAAAGAGCGGAACCACACACACACACGCACACATACACACACTCACACGGCACGCACACAAACATACACACAGACATAAACGGACAGACGGACGGACGGGCAGACAAAGATAGAGATGTCAGGTGGATCGAATGGATGTACAAATAATTGTCTCCGAGAGTCAAAGTGCATGAACCAATAGAAATCTCTCAATGAAGAGGAGGGCGGAGACTAATTAATGATGGGTGGAGTTAACTCACAGTACGGCCAATAGGAGGGCTACATTCGATGCGAAATCAATGTGATTGGTTCGTTTGTAAGCCAATGAGAGTGTTGACAGTTAATACTTGATGACTGCTTAGGCATTGAAGTTGTTTTTGATCCCTTGAATTAACGAATGTTCACAGACATTACTACTGTGTTATTAATGTTGTTGTTGTTGTTGCTCTGCTGTTGTTGTTGCTCTGTTGTTGTTGTTGTTGCTCTGTTGTTGTTGTTGTCGCTCTGTTGTTGTTGTTGCTCTGTTGTTTTTGACGTTTTAGACGTTGTTGTTGAGGACGTTGTTGTTGTTGTTGATGTAGTTATTGTTGCTGTGTTGTTGTTGTTGATGATGTTTTTGTAAGTGCAAGAATGATGTCATTTCATTGTTAGTGTTGCCAAATTTTCGGCCGAAGCAATTTTGAAATTTCAAATGTTAGTAGAGTTGTTGGGTCGTTCAATGTGTTGCTACATTAACTTTGGCGATGTCACCTCACCCCCTACACATGTTTTGTTATAATTAATAATTTTAGTTAATTGAAAGCTAAATCAGTCTACTAAATCGTTAATTAACTTGTTAGAATTTTCGTCAATCGACTCATTTAATATATTCATATATTCACTTGTTCATTCAGTCGTTCGATCGTTCGTTCGTTCATTCATTCATTCACTCACTCATTACTTATTTATTCACTCATTCACTTATTCACTCACTCCCTCACTCACTCACTCACTCATTCACTCACCCATCCTTCCATCCCTCCATCGTTGGGGTTGTTGATGAGTTCAGCTGATGAATGGCTCCTCGGCTTCTGCTGACAGGCGTGAGAGTGTCACGCGATGCTCAACTGAACACCCAACCAGCCAATCGGCCAAGCGTGAAATGATGACGTCACCGATAGCGCCATCCAATCAGATCGATCCATGCGCATCCACCTAATAACCACGTGACACGGACGTTTGCTAGTACCCACTTTACTTTTAATGGCGTCATCTCCAGGGTTTGGTGGATTACTTTTTATTATTGAGTGTTCGTTGCTGGCATGGTGCCAGTTACTTTCTGACTCGAATGTTCGCCAGAGTCTGCAAGTCTTGATGAAATGCGACTATTTTGTATTCTTGTTGAATGGATGAATGACTGACTGACTGAATGAATGGATGAGTGAATGAATGAATGAATGAATGAACGAACGAACGAACGAACGAATGAACGAATGAATGAACGAATGAACGAACGAATGAATGAACGAATGAACGAACGAATAAATAAATGAACAGACGACCCTTGATGAACGAATAAATGAATTTATCAATGAAATACGAAAAGACAAATTTAAATATTCCACTTGCTTTAAATTCCCGTTATATTCAGCACGGAAAAGTTAATTAGAGAGCCAAAAACCAGCATTGTAGTTTTTATGGTATATAAGAAGAGGTAGTCTTCTAGCGTTCATTTAAAATTTTTGTTCTAAAAAAATATAAAAATTTTCAAAATTATATTTCATTCCGCAGGTGTCCGCATATGTGTAGAACAAGCAGGCTCTTCCATCCATCCATTCGTTCATTCATTCATTCATTCATTCATTCGTTCGTTCGTTTGTTCATTCATTCATTCATTCAGCCTGAAAACATCTTTAACAACGTTTGGAACGGGTTTCAAATAATTTGAAGTTTTTTTTGTTCAGTACGGCAAATCATGCTGTCAAAAAAAACTTGAAACATCTCAAATTTATCTTCAAAATTATTGTTACTAAATTTTTTTATGCAACCACCATTCCAGAATGATTTCTGTGAGACTTTAAATTGTCTT